CCTGTAATTCGAGCCCCAAGTGGGGCTCATGATTTGGAAGCGGGAAAGAAAGCTTCCACCCTCGTGAACCAAAAAAGGGGGGAGGGGGCGAACCCGAAGCCGTGCGGAAAGAACAGCACTCACCGAAGGAAAACACCATGACAACCCGGCACCTACCCTACTCAAAGACAACAGCCTTTGAGCAGCGAACCCCAAAGTAAATACGGCCCACTGAGACGACCGTAACTCGAACAGGAAGCTGAGCTCAGCAAAGCACTAAGACCAGGGGGGGGGGAACCCCGCAGAATTCCACACCCTAAAGAGCCGTAACAAAACCTGTAAGCGAGCGGACAAATCCTGAAAACCCCAGCGGGAACGCACCGATTCGTCCCCGTCACGCCACACCATACTGCAGCGGGCCCACGCGGCCGCAGAGACCGACCCACGGACCAGCACCACCAGTCCGCCAGACCAAGACCTGGGATGCCCTCCAACTCAGCATGTGGAGCCATTGCCAGAAGTATGTACCATTGCAAACGAGAGAGGGCAACTGCCAATACATTTCCCTCCCTACCAGGCACAGATATTTCCCGCCCTTCCAGGCACATTAAGACTCAAACAGCGCAGGACTAGGTGCTGCAACAAGCGCACTGCCAGGGCAGAGGATGCGGTCAAGTGAGTGATAGCCAGCACCTCCCCCCCCCCCGTTTGTCGCAACGGAAAATCAACTACCTGTCAGTGCGGTGGGAACCTACCCCCCAATGCCACCAGAATGGGGAAGAGCTCCAGCACCTGCCAGCCTACCGGCCAAGGGTCAATCCCACCAAGGAGTGTCCAAATGACCCCAACACCTCTCGAGCCAGCATCCACGGCATACCAGCAGAAGTCAGCGTTAGAGACCTCTAGCGGCTGCCAGACCCTCAAACAGAACACCGAAACGCTGAAAACCCATCCCCAGAAACCGCAGCAGCAGATGTGCGACTCCGCCGGCCCCATACACCAAAAGCTGCCCAAGCAAAGCCGAAGGGGACCGACCCCTGCTTCCATACGCACCACCCATGCCAGGAAATCGCTAAAGCTCTCAAAACAAATAGGATAGGGAGCCACCCTTACGGAGGCACATAAATACAGAAAATGACAGCCAAAGGTACAACCCAGGGGAAGGTGACCATCTGGGTGCAATGGTAGCAGCTGGAAAGCTGATTCCACAACTGCGCCAGCCAGCAAGGCCCCCGGGCCTGCAGCCCAAACCCTGTGACCCGCTGTGCCGAAGGACGCAAAACAAACCTGTCAGCGGTCGGCAGCAACGTCAACCACTCACCGAACTCCAAAGAGGGTACGACAAATGAGGCAACCAGTGACAATAATCTTGGTCCTACTTTGGCACCATGCCCAAAGGTGAAAAAAAAAACCCATAGGATATGGGGGGGGAGGTCCATCCAGCCCTATGAGGCTTTTCTAGCAAGCTACTCCCGAACCACCTGTGGGACATCCTGTACAGACCAAAGTGTCTGAAACCGAGCGAGGGAAAAAGGCACTCCGAAAAAGGGGGTGCCAAAACCCTGCTCAAAACCACCCTATGTGATCTGCGCAGCCTGGTGAACCTGAAAGGTGGATCCATGGTTGAGTCTACTACCACTGGAGCCGTCGTCCTTAACCCCAAGCCCAATGTGTCCCTGCTTGAAACAGCGGGAGCTGGGATGGGCACCACGGTATCCGGAGCACTCGTGTTTTCACCGGCATAATGACCCCCACATATAGTTCCAACCACATTGGGGTCCTATGGGGAGGAGAATGACCCCCCACCGTTCCCCCAAAGAAAGGATGGAAAAACGCCCCCCACAAAGGGTCATATAGCTTGCCGTACCAAGCGTCCCAAAGAATGCCCTGACAGCAGAACCACTCAGAGCATTTCCGGGGAGACTTTCCCCCAACAACACCAGCCAGGACAGAAAAAATGCTTGTAACCAATTGCCAAATGTCCCATGAATTTTCCATAGCGGAAATCCTCCATTCCGACCTGTCTAAAACCCCCCTAACTAAATCCTATCCCTATATACTTGCCTCACGCGCAAACCCCAGTCCGCCTTGCGGGAAGCTCCGCCTGCCTAGCCACGGAGCAAGACACCACAGACAAACCGAGGGGAAGGGGGGTCCCCCAACGGACCACCACCAACCCCAGCGGATCCCCAGGACCGCGCAGAGGGCGTCTGATGACCAAACAGACCCAAGTCGACTCACCCTATTGGACTCCCCACAAACTGCCACCCCTGCTCCCATAGAACCCAAAACCTAAAAAGACCCTTTGATACCGAATGACTAATCTAACAAGGAAAAAAACACACTTACCCGTGAAAGCCTGGCGCTCCAACCGCGGCACAGCGGGCACAGAAGGTGAAGCAAATAGACATGAAAACCAGAGTGCACTGTGTTCATCAAATGTGTTCCAGGCGCCACCTGCTGGGAAGCTCCAGTAACAGCAGCCAGGATCTGTGAGAAGAGCAACGAAGAGGAGGTGAGCCCACGCTCCACACCAGGAAGCAGCCAAGGTAAGTGATCAGCAGGGGGGAACACACAGATAGAACAGGGACATACACACAGATAGAACAGGGACATACACAGATAGAACAGGGACACACAGATAGAACAGGGACACCCACAGATGGAACAGGGACACCCACAGATGATGGAACAGGGACACACAGATAGAACAGGGACACACACAGATAGAACAGGGACACACACAGATTGAACGGGGACACACATATGGAACGGGGACACACATAGATGGAACGGGGACACCCACAGATAGCACAGGGACACACAGAAAGGAAGAGGCACATAGATAGAACAGGGACACACATTGGGGAGGGGGGTACATACAGAGAGAAAATGAGGCCCACTCAGAGAGAACAGAGGAAAGAGAGGAGGGCAGAGGGGACCCGAAAGGAACAGGGAGCAAACAAAGGAGGGAAAAGAAACAAGGGGGGGGGAGAAAGACGCAGAAGAAGGGGTGGGGGGGGCATAAAAATGGAAGGAGTCTGAGAGGCCCCCCGGAGCAAGCCAGGACCCCCAACTGCCACCAAGGGGACACAAGGGGGCGACAGAGGGTGGGGGTACAGGGGAGAGAAACCCAAGGGAGCCTACCTCACTGGCAGAGGAGGCTCTCGAACCACTTGAGGTCCTCCCCAGTCCTGAACGGCGGTACCGGAGTACCCCACGCGGCCCCGCTGGGCATACTCACTGATGGGGGCCCTTGACACAGCCCCGCCGTCCCGCCAGCCCAAAGGGATCAAAAAGGCCGCCTGGGTTGATGCACGCTGTTGGTAAAGTGCGGCTTGCCTTCCACCGCCCCCGCCAATGGATGCAGGCCGGATAGGCAGCAGAGCTTCCCGCGCGGCACATGAAGGCAGTGCGTCTGAAGTAGAAGGTGCAGGCCACATGTCTGGAGCCTCCAAACACGTGGTCCTGGTGTTTCCTCAGGCCCGTGCTCCCACACCTCAGCTGAGCCCGAGGATTAGAGACAGGGGACCCCCCCCCGAATGGCAGGGTGCCCCCAAACGATCCAACGAACCTGAATGCCAGCCAGTGCCAGGCCGGCCCCCAGGAGCAGGAGCCACAGGAAGGGCCCCAGCAGGAGACAGGCCGCGGGGGGAACCCACGCCGGCAGCCATACCTGGGATAAGGAGAGCACCTGGGTCATGGAGATGACGGCCACCAGCCACGCTGCAGCAGCTCTGAGGCTCATAAAGCCTCAACCTCCATCCCTCAAGCTGGTAAACCTGCAGGCCCAGGCAAACAGGAGCAGGAGTACAGGAAGCGGTTTGCTGGCCCGAATCTCAAGTGGCACTGAGGTAAGACCTCCCCCCACTAACTCACACAAAACATAATACCACCCACACATTCCTTCCCAACCAATCCCACGCATCTATCCCCACACTCAAACATGTGCCCTTGTCTGCTTAGCTGCGCTATCTCCCCAGGGCCTTTAAATGTGTTTAAGGGTATCACATTCAGAGTGTTGTAGCAGTGGATCGAAAGCATACCAACTCTAAATAGATCTCACATTTATTGGAAGGGCGCTACAAAAGTTACTACTTTACTCCCTTACATTTTGTAAAACGATTTTACCTATATGTATTTAAATTTTTGCTGTTAGGACTCTTGCTCCAATTATTTCATTTAAGTTAGAAGGAAAATTTGTAGCTATCCCTATATGCCCTAAACCAATATGGACTCTGTGTACAAACTAAAGGCAGATCGGCAATACAGACGTAATTGGGACGGTTTTGACGTCAGTACAAACCCGGAAGAAGGCGTCATGTGAAGATCAATGGAGGTGCATACCTGGAAGAGGACGCCAGAAGGGAGGTAAAATAAACTGCCAAACAGCTATGAAAGCTGTAGATCGAGGGACAGAACTCTAGCACTTGGAAGAACACCTTATTGGGTTGAAACGCATATGTTGAGAGACATTTTTTACTAAAACTTGATAGGGCCAGCTGTGAGCTACTTATGTACTTTGGATCCATATTTTTTGTACATTACTACACTGCAGATTTTTGGCATATGACCTTATTTATTAATTTATTTGTAATTGTTTTTGCAATAAATATATCATTCATTTCACTGGATCATTGTGGTGCAACTATTGGAATTTTGTTTAGCCTGTATAAGCATCTTTGGGCTTTACATCCATTGCCGGATACGGCTCTGCACCATGTGAGTTTGGTTCCATCTAAATATATTATTGTGTTTCCTTTCCATACAGTTTTACGCTGTGCTTGTTTCATATGTTCTTTGTTAGGTTTCCCATGGGTTTTTAGAATTTTTACTACTTACTATCATAAGTACAGTTGTGCTCAAAAGTTTGCATACCCTGGCAGAAATTGTAAAATTTTGGCATTGATTTTGAAAATATACCTGATCATGCAAAAATTTATTTTATTAAAGTATAGTGATCATATGAAGCCATTTATTATCACATAGTTGTTTAAATCCTTTTTAAATCATAATGATAACAGAAATCACTCAAATGGCCCTGATTAAAAGTTTAAATACCCTTAAATGTTTGGCCTTGTTACAGACACACAAGGTTACACACAGAGGTTAAAATGTCAATTAAAGGTTCATTTCTCACAGCTGTTGGTTTTTAAATTGCAATTTGTGTCTGTGTATAAATAGTCAATGAGTTTGTTAGCGCTCACATGGATGCACTGAGCAGGTTAGATACTGAGCCATGGGGAGCAGAAAAGAACTATCAAAATACCTGTGTTATAAGGTAATTGAACTTTATAAAAATGGAAAAGGGTATACAAATATATCCAAAAGTAAAAAACGCCAGTCAGTATTGTTCAATCGTTTATTAAGAAGTGGAAAATTTGGGGATCTTTTGATACCAAGCCAAGGTCAGGTAGACCAAGAAAGATTTCAGCCGCAACTGCCAGAAGAATTGTTCAGGATACAAAGAAAAACCCACAGGTAACCTCAGGTGAAATATAGGCTGCTCTGGAAAAAGACAGTGTGGTTGTTTCAAGGAGCACAATACAACGATACTTGAACAAAAATTAGCTGCATGGTCTAGTTCCCAGAAAGAAGCATATACTGCGCCAATGCCCAAAAAGGTCCAGTTACAGTGTGTCCGACAACACCTTGACACGCCTCACAACTTCTGGCACACTGTAATTTGGAATGACAAGACCAAAACATAGCTTTTGAAAGAATGCCATCCACACTGTGAAGCATGGTGGTGGCTCACTGATGCTTTGGGAAGGGGGAAGGCATGGGGAATCTTGTGAAAAGTGATGAGGTGCATATACTAGACATGTGCATTAGTTTTCGCACGAATACGATTTAGTCCGTAAATTCTGTTTTTTTTCGTATTCGTTTACTAAAACGTTAACTAAAGCCCTACGAACAAAATAGAAATATAAAAATATAAGCTGTGGAATTTTTTTTTAAAGAATCTCATAACATTCTTGTTGTACAAATTAGATTTATTTTGGAAGGTATCAATTTGATTCTTAAAAATAATTATTTTTGGTTAGGTGGTGAATTTTTTCTTCAAATTAGGGGCAGTGCAATGGGGACCAAGTTCACACCTAGTTACGCAAATTTTTTTATGGCATTTTGGGAAAAAAAAATTTTCACCAGAATAATCAGTATAGCACGAACTTGGTCCTCTATAAACGATACATAGATGATATTTTTATTATTTGGAAAGGATCTATGAAGCTTTTTAACATTTTTATGAAAACCTAAATAGTAACAATTGGGGCATTAGACTAACTAAAAATGCTAGTAAAACAAATATTAACTTTCTTGATCTTGATTTTTACATCTCTGAGAATACTTTAATGACACATACTTTTTTAAATTAGTGGACGTTAACAGCTATATCGAAATCGATAGTTGCCACTACCGTCCATGGCTTACCAATATAACTAAAGGTCAATTTTTAAGAATAAAAAGGAACTGTTCTAATAACCAGGATTTTAATATACAATCTAATCCTATAAAAAAAAAAACAATTTATACACAAAGGCTATGATGAAAAAACACTATAGAAAGAGATCGATAGTGCTTTACAGCTAGAGAGATCTCAGCTACTAATATATAAAAATATAGACAAAAAAATACATCTAGGCGATAAAGACCGCATTCCACTTATTTTTAACTATGCTAGCAATATAGGGAGCTTCAAATAAATAGTTCTTAAAAATTGGCATATCCTCACTCAAGAACAGGAGAGTATTAGATATATTGGTAATAAACCAAAATTCATCTTTAGGGGCGTACAACATATGAGACAAATTTTAATGAAAAGTTTTATTGAAAAGGAAACTCCAAGAAACTTTTTATCTGACCTAGCAGTAATTCAAAAAGGCTTTTATCATTGCAGTACTTGCAATGCTTGTAGAAACACGAACATATCCAACAAAACCGTAAAAACGTTTAAATCTAGAATTACTCAAAAAAGCTATAAATTTCAGTCCACGATTACTTGCCACTTTAAAAATGTGATATATTTACTTAATTGTAGTTGTGACTATCAATATGTGGGCAAAACATCCAGAAGCCTAAGCACTAGGATGGGCGAACATATTAGAAACATCAAAAATAGTTTTGTCAATCAGTGTGTCTAAACATGAATCGGACCCAAGGTTTCTGGAGTTTCATGCTATAGAAAGGGTTAACATACACTGAAGTGGTGGTAACATTGCACAGAATCTTAGCAGACATGAAATAAAGTGGATTTTTGAACTTTAATCCCAAAAGGTCTTGATATTGATTTTGAAATAAGTACCATTTTATAATTTTTATTGGGATTTTTTAGAAGCTCTTAATTATTTTTTGTCTGGTGGGCTTTTTTATGTATACGGGTACTTGTATGTGTATGTATATGTATATATGTTTATGTGTACATATCTATATATGCATATACATCTCTATATGCCTCCTCTATATGTGAACGTGGTTATTATTTATAAATGGTTTTATGCACTTATTTTATATTGGAATACATTTTAGCTATTATTTTTATGATATATACAGCCATTCACTATCTTTATTTAATTTTTGTTTTATCAATTATTTGCCCAAATCCAATATGGCGTTCCCTACTTCTATGGCACTATGAACTTTCATATGAGACTACTATGAACTTTGCTATCTTGAACACATATCAGCAAATGGAAACATTATTAAAGTTGGAAGTTAGCCTATTGGACGAGACATCTCCTCCGGAGTACGCATGTCCTATAGACATATGGGAAATTTGAATCTAACGAGTGTTCATCGGAACCGAAATAGACACCACATTCATTCGGTTCATCGGAACCGAAATAGACACCACCCATCTGAAACTACCAATTGGAGTTTGCAACGTCATATGACACGATGCACGGACATTTTAGTTGTGGCAATTTCTCTTCTCTGTATGGCCGAAACCAGATGAGCCGCCATATTGGGAGAGGCAGACTACATCCGGTTCGTACCATATAATGAAGTTTTATCACATGTGTTTTAATTACTACTTCTGTTTTACGTTATGTTTAAGTAATTTTATGGTATATAAAGCAGTTATGACAGTTGTTAGGTAGATTTCACCTGAGAAAGACCTCTTTTAAGGTCGCAATGCATTGTGCTATTCTTTGTTATGTTTTAATCACTATTTGGAATAAACTACTTTTATATAGTTTATTTGGTTCCTGGTTCCAGTTTTTACTTGGAAAATTCAAGGGTCCAGCGATACACCACTACAACTATCCCTATTGTGGATGCTATTTCTTTACAGTTCAGAGCCACTCTTTAAGGGCTCTGTAAAGTGTGAGTGTTCCATTTTTATTGAATCACTGTTATATATATGTATACAGGTTACACTATGGTTACATAGTTACATAGTTACATAGCTGAAAAGAGACTTGCCTCCATCAAGTTCAGCTTTCCTCACATATGTTTTTGCTGTTGATCCAAAAGAAGGCCAAAAAACCTAGTCTGAAGTGCTTCCAATTTTGCAACAAACTAGGAAAAAATTCCTTCTTGACAGATGTCTCCTTGGATCAAGCAGCTATTACCCCACTAATTAGAAATTATATCCCTGTATGTTATGTTTTTGCAAGTATTTATCCAATTTCAGTTTAAACATCTGTAATGACTCTGACATAACCACCTCTTCAGGCAGAGAATTCCATATCCTTATTGCTCTTACTGTATAAAAAACCTTTTCTTTGCCTTAGATGAAATCTCCTTTCCTCCAGCCTAAATGTGTGACCTCGTGTCCTATGTGTAGCCCTGTTTATGAATAGATTGCCAGATAAAGGTTTGTACTGGCCCCGAATATATTTGTATAATGTTTTCATATGCCCTCTCAGGCACCGTTTTTCCAAACTAAACAGATTTAATTTTTTTTAACCTTTCTTCATAATTAAAATGCTCCATTCCTTTATCAATTTTGTAGCTTGTCTCTGCACTTTTTCTAGTGCCATGATATATTTCTTTAGAACAGATGCCCAAAATTGCACAGCAAATTTAAGGTGTGGTCTTACCAGCGATTTATAAAGAGGCAAAATTATATTTTCATCACGAGAATTTATGCCCCTATTTATACATGACAAAACCTTACTGGCCTTAGCAACTGCAGATTGACTTTGCTTATTGCTGCCTAATTTGTTGTCTATAACAATTCCCAAATCCTTCTCTTGTGTGCTTATCCCTTGTTCACTACCATTTAGGGTGTAAATTGCTTGTGCATTCTTAACCCCGAAGTGCATAACTTTGCATTTCTCTATGTTAAATTTCATCTGCCATTTTAGTGCCCAGTCCCCCAATCTATTCAAATCCCTCTGCAGCAAAGAAATATCCTGCTCACACTTTATTACTTTACAAAGTTTTGTGTCATCTGCAAACACTGACACATGGCTTTCAATGCCTATTTCAAGATCATTTATAAATATGTTAAATAGAAGCGGTCCCAAAACAGAACCCTGAGGGATTCCACTTACCACTTTTGTCCAGCCTGAAAATTTACCATTAATGACAACTCGTTGTACTCTATCCTTAAGCCAATGTTCTACTCAAGAACAAGAATATTCATCTAGACCAATTTATTTTAGTTTGAAGACTAACATATTGTGAGGAACCGTATCAAATGCCTTGGCAAAATCCAAGTAGATCACATCCACTGCAACACCCTGATCTATACTTCTACTTACTTTTTCATAGAATGCAATTAGGTTAGTTTGACATGACCTATGTTTCATAAAACCATGCTGATTATTGCTAATAACAAAGTTCTTCCCAATGAATACCTGAATATTATCCCTTAATAGCCCTTCAAAATTTTCCTCTGTTTTGTTTTTATATGATTTAGGATTCTAGCAAGAAAAAGACCCATCACATTTTATTGTATTTTAAAGGTAACTCATTTTTACAGTGTGTGCTTTGACACTTTTTTTTGGTGGTATATATTGTGCCAATGCCCAAAAAAAGCCCAGTTACAGTATGTCAGACAACATCTTGACACGTCTCACAACTTCTGGCACACTGTAATTTGGAATGACGAGACCAAAACAGAGCTTTATGGTCACAACCATAAGCGCTATGTTTGGAGAGAGATCAACAAGACCTATAGTGAAAATAATACCATCCACACTGTGAAGTATGGTGGAGGCTCACTGATGCTTTGGGTGGAGGGGGAGGTCTAAAAGGCACGGGGAATCTTGTGAAAAGTGATGAGACGCATTTACTAGACTGCATTCGTTTTCGTATGAATACAATTTTGTCAGAAAATTCTGTTTTTTTCGTATACGTTTACTAGAACGTAAACGAAAGCCCTACAAACAAAATATAAACAAAACGACAAATGTCAAATGTATTACCTTTTTGTTTTGTTCGTTTAATAGACTCCATGCTGCAGGGGAATTACTCCCACAGCACGGAGAAATAACACTGCGCGAGAAAAAAAAACAAGGAGGGAGCCGGCAGCGCTACCAGCTTCCGCCTTGTAATAAATATTAATTCCAACCCCCCCTCCCCCAACCCTGCATTAAAACCGATTAATAAAAGAGAGGTTAAATCCTCCCGCATGCCCCTACTTGTGGCATGCCGCGAGTAGGGGCATGTCGTCTAAACAGCAAGCAGTCAGCTAGCTGCTCGCTGTCATTTCAAACTAAATATAAATCAGTATGGGTGTCAATATGACCCCCATATTAATAAAAGGGAGGTTTAATCCTCCCACATTCCCCTTTCCCCCTTAAAAGTTCTAGTGATTGGGTTGCTAGTGACTGGGTGCCCCCACCCATGACCTGCGGGTGGGGGCTATTAATATTAATGGGGGGACCTGGTCCCCACCCATGAGCGGCGGGTGGGGACCTTAATTAAATAAGGGGGGACCTAATGTCCCCACCCATGAGCAGCGGTTAGGGACCCTAATTAATTAAAGGGGGGACCTAATGTCCCCCCTGGTTCCCACCCATGAGCGGTGGGTGGGAACCCTAAATAAATAATGGGGGGACCTAATGTCCACCCCAGGTTTACCACCCATAAGTGGCGGGTTTGCAGACAAAATTCGGGATTGACGAATGACATTTATATTTAGTACGAAATCATTCGTACGAAATGAAAATTTCACTGGTGCACATGTCTAAAAAATACTGGCAGACAATTTCCATTCTTGTGCACGAAGGCTGCACTTAGGACACTCTTGGACTTTCCAGCATGACAATGACCCTAAGTACAAGGCCAAGTTGATCCAACCATCCAGTGGTTATAGTAGAAAAAAGTGAAGATTCTGGAGTGTCCTTAATATCATCAAGCGACTCTGGGGAGATCTCAAACGTGTGGTTAATGCAAGACTACCAATGACTTTGCATGACCTGGAGGCATTTTGCCAAGACGAATGGGCAGCTATACAACCTGCAAGAATTAGGGGCCTAATAGACAACTATTACAATAGACAGAGAGAAGGGTACGCCAAGGGATAAGGGATGAAACAAAAATTAGAGAACTTTGTGGGTATGACAAAATATAATAAGATATACTATAAAAAAAAACGGTCCAAAATATCAGAGAAAAAAGTCCAAATAGTCAACCTTGATGGATGATGGGATGATTATGCCTTGCATGGTATGTTGATCAGCTTAGGTGAGTATGTCATCCGATAAACTCACAAATTCAGGGACATATGAAAAAAGAAACAAAAGAGACTCCAATGGTGCAGTACGTCTTGGTAGAGGTACTAGTATGTAGAGGTAAGTCTAAAGAAGTGCCTACTCACATGGCATAGAGCTAAGACCAGCTCTGGTATGGATTGCCTGCAGTGGTATTGATCCCCCACTTATGGAGGGCGGTATTGGTCTCAGGAGCAGTCTTATTCAACAGGGGTTAGAAAGCTCAGGAATATAAAAAAAATGAGTGCAACAATAGTGCTCATTGTATAAAAAATATAAAATATGATAAAAATCAAAAGGTTATACTCACATTTAACTGAGCAGACAACCCGCTCAGTTATATAGGCGTGGGTGGTATAATCCCCACCAAGGATGCGTGGTGAGGTCCTTTTTTGAAAATGATGGATCAGGATGCCAGGTAAAAAAAAAGGAAGAAAAAAAGGTTCTGGTACAGTAGAGTATAAAAAGTAACCAACAACCTTTTATTATAACAAAATAAAATTATTCCACCACGCGTTTCACCCGGTGGGCTTTTTCAAGTGGTAAACAGTCAAATACCTGGCACGTACAGACTTATATATG